AACTATATTTATCACACAAAAATATATAATCTACACCGGGATTATGGTAAAAAGGCTGACAAATTAGACTGTACAAAAAGCAGTTAAAAAGTGATTACAAACTGTACTATAGCAAAATAATTTGGAAAAGCCAATATGACAGTGAAGGGCAATGACTACATCGTTATTTCTTACAGACCATGGCACCAACACAGCAAGGCCAGGTGTCCCCATTCCCTGGCACTCAGCCCGTGCAGCACACGCTTACATGGCCCAGCTCTGGCTCCTGTCACTGCTCTGGGTCTGCTTGGCCAGGGCTGGGCTTGGCATAGTTTGGGCCCGTTCCCCGTTGGTCCTGCAGGTTCCCAGCTGAGCAGCTCCAGAGCACAGAACCTCGCTGGGATCAACCTTCTCAGCTCTCTGTGTGTGTGACAGGCCAGGCTTGGTTCCCAGCCCTGCCTCCCTTGGCACCTGCCACCGACATTGGTTTCCCTGGATGTTGTGGTTTGGGGCTTCCTGCCCTCTCACTGTCCCTGCAGACAGTGAAGCTGCTGGTGGAGCAGAGACCCTGAATGGAGCAGAGCCTTTGCTGTCACACCCCCTTCCCCAGTGCCACCCTTTGTCCCCTGTGTGTCTGCAGCACAGAGCTTGAGTCACCCCCAGCTGTGGCTCCCCTGAACACAAAGGAGACACGGAGCAGTCCAAATCAACTCCTTTATTAGCAGAGTGTGAAAACCAGCAATGACTTGTTTTAAAATTTTAAAAGTTTATTAGTAATAAAATTGCTATGAAAATATTAATTAAAAAATAGAGCAATAAGCTCTTGGATAATCAGAGTAGGACAATAGAAGACAATAAAAAGCAAAGAGTTACAGATGTCTGGGTGCGTTTTACTCCTTCTGCCAAGCAAAAGCCCACCTTGCTAACAAAGGATTAATCCTTAAAAGCAATAGCCTATTGCATATTCATATATCTCATACATGATGCAAAAATTATTTTCAAACAAAGGGTCTTTTCTGGTTATTGTCAACTCCCCCACTCATCTTGTAAATCAATCATCTTGGTCCCTCAAATTCTGGTTCTTCCCAATAAAGAGGCAATAATTCTTCTCTTGGGATTTTTGGTGTCTTGTTGCTGTTAACTCTATGTGAAGAATTTCTTGATTCTCTTATCCATTCCTTGAGCTAGTAAG